TCGCTCTTGTCTTCTCTTCAGTTACCACATTTTTGTTTGTGTAGCATCTTTTTTCCTGCCCCCTTGGGAAATTCCAGCTGCTTGAGTGCTCTTTCCCACTGCCATGCGCAAAAGCCCAACTCCCTAAAGTGGCTTCCTGCTCTTTTTCTTGACCACTTCCTCTCTCAAGCCATCGCATTGTACACCGATGGTTCTAAGTCTTCTGACGGTGTCAGATTCACAGCAGTTTCTGGACAGTCGTGCAAGAACATTTATCCTCGGCTAGCATTTTTACGGCCAAATTGTGTGCCATTCTTGTAGCACTTATCCATATAGCATCTATTCCTGTCATCATTTGTGGTGGCTTCAGACTCCCTTAGTGCTTTACAGGCTACAAGAAAACTTGATACCTCACCTAGTTCTTAGTGTCCAACTTTGGCTACGCTGTATCTCTAGTAAACTGTTCTTTGATGGGTCCCTGATCATGTTGACATACAGGGCAATGAACAGGCACTGCTGTGCAGTCAGCAGTGCATGACCTCCCAGCTTCAAATAGGGGTTTCATTCAGACTTTGCTGAAATTGCTACCCACCTTTGTACCCGTTGGCAACGTTGGTCTGATCTGCTCCACAACACTTCATTCTATTAAACAAAGTATAGGTTTCTAGCAGTCTTGTCATCAGTGTCGGGTTGGGAGACTACTCTTCTGTCTTTGCATCGGCCACACTCTTACTCGTGGGTATCTCGTGGAGAGGTGCCATGTTCCTCTGAGAATTGTAATGTTCCAGTATCTGTTAGCCACATTCTGTTGACTGTCCACTCTGTCAACAAGCACACAGAATTTACCTGTCATCTCCACTCTGCTGCCCTTTCTTTACCTTCCCTTCCTGACACTCGCATTGACTTCTTGACTGCAACTGATTTACTACCAATACCTCTAGCGTACTCCTGTCCTTTCTACCTTAACCTCTTGCTACCCACTATCCACTGCCCCACTGCACTCCATACCCTAATAATCATTCCTCTCCTTCTTGCCACCAGTTTCCCCTGCATCCTTCCCTGCTGTGCTGCACTGTATAACCCTTGAGGTTCAGTGCTTTTGATTATAACCTCAATGCCTCTCATCCCTCGGATACAATAAAACCCTAAGGGATTATGGTTTCCCCAATTTAAAATGTCCTGTCAACTCCCACTTTAATAATGATTATGGAGGTTGCTCCACTAGTTTCCAAATGTCAATTCCTCCAACTGAACCCCTTGAAGGAGTTACCTAGATATTGGTGAGGTACTAATGATCTAAGGAATTGAGCCTGATTTTTTTTTTTTTCCCTGCCTTGGACTGAACCTGATTGCCTGCCATTTCCCAGGCAATGTCTGCTCCCTAAAAGTTTAGCTTTGTGTAAAATTGGTTAAAACTTTTGTAGAAAGGTTCTACTGCCAACGGATAAGCCTATGATTTGCTTTGTAGGTTTCTCAAACTTGTAAAATTTACACTGCTCAGCTGCAGTGATTTTGTTCATGCTGCAACTCTTGCCTACATTGGCTCCTTTAATGCACCCCTACAATCTGGTCTAATCAAGCACTATACATCACTGGAAAATTTATGCTGTTCTCACTTCTGGAAGCCAGGAAAATATGGGTGCAATTCATCCTATTCAGCTTATTGCTGGATTGTCCTATTTATCAATGAACACAATTTACCTCTGATGTCTTCACCACTTTACCACCCCTACTTTATCTTCCCTCCTTGCTGATGGCCCTATCTGACTTTTTTGACAGCAACAGGTTTATCATAACTTCTGATTTTACTTTCTTTAGCACTCCTCACAGCCCTTACTAACTCTACCTCCATTATGCTCTCCACCCTTGCTAGTTTAAGATCATGCACATTAGTTTGACCCCCCCTTCCCTCCCAATGCTGCAATGCTATATGACCCTTGTGGGTTTAGCACTTTAGTTTTGATAATCTAGCTTATTGCTCTTACCAGTTGTTTGCAATTTACTAGAATGGTGTAAAAAAAAATCTTAGGGGGTACAATTCCAGGTCTCTGCCTGAAAGCAGGGCCATTTCATGTTATATACTGTCTAGCTAAATTTAAAAAAAAAAAAAAAGCTTAACTGGCAAGGGGATAGTGCAGGATTATGAAGTATAGTAAGGGTGGAGTGGACAAAGGTGAGTTCAACAAATTTATACCCTTGCTGAATGCCTGTCATGGCTTTGACAAGGCTTATCCCAGGCCCATTCTGTTGGTCTCTGGGCTTGTATTGAAGAGGCTGTTGACCTGGTTAGGTTTAGCACTCAGTTTTAGATTAATAAAATTATTATTATATGAATCAAGGCAGGAACGATAACAGGAGGATATACAGCGCTGGGGGGGGATGTGAAGCATTCAGGCTTAATTCGGAACTGAGCCAGTACCAATTCCTAATCAAGGAGCCTCTCACTCAGGTCAAGGAAACTCTTGAGGGGTAGTTATAAATAGTTTTATTGTATTAAAAAATTTATTATCAAACAGGCCCTTTTGTAGGATCAATTAGTTCTCCAGACTTTGCAAAGTGTGCTTTAAAAGTGTCAGCAATAAAGTGATACTGTCAGAAGACTTCCCCTGGCTAATTTTGCCATGGACTGTGCTGACAGGGACATTCAGGTGATTACCTTGTTGCAGCATACTATGATTATGCATCTCAAGGGGTTGTGTGTGTGGGGGGGGGGGTCCTTGATGTGAGGAGGCTTACTCTAAGAATTGGACTTTTGTCTACTTCAGACCAAACCTAATTGCCTCCCCACCCCTACTATCCTTATCTACATTTGGCTTTAGGGGACTTTTCTTGGAAATCCCCTCAAGGACGGTTTCTTGATGCTGGGCTGTATAGTCCTTGTGGCTTAGCACTTCTTTTTGATTATAATAATAATAATAATTGATGCTGGTGAGGGGCTCTCCCCTCAAGGAAGGTTCCTTGATGTTGGTGAGGGGCTCTTGATTTAGGGAATTGGATCTGTGCTCGTTCCCCGAATTAAGCCTGAATGCCTTCCATATCCCCCCCAGGCGCTGTATAATCCTACGGGTTTAGCGCTTCCTTGATTATTATAATAATTCAACAGATTATTACAATTATGGGGGAGGGATGGAATGTATTCAGTTTCAATTCAGGGAACCAGAGCACAGATCCAATTCCCTAGATCAAGAGCCCCTCACCATTATTATTATAATCAAGGGGGAAGCGCTAAACCCGGAGGATTATACAGCGCCTGGGGGGGATGTGGAAGGCATTCAGGCTTAATTCGGGGAACTGGAGCACAGATCCAATTCCCTAAATCAAGAGCCCCTCACCAACATCAAGGAACCTTCCCTGAGGGGATAATCCGTTGAAGCTCAGTGGTGGTGGTTGCTGTGGAATCTGGAGTTGAGGTATTTTGGTCATCTAGAGAGAATGGATCAAAGTAGAATGACATGGAAAGCTTATAAATCTGTTGGGGAAGGAGGGCGGGGTAGGGGTCGTCCTCGAAAAGGTTGGAGGGAGGGGGTAAAGGAGGTTTTGTGGGCAAGGGGCTTAGATTTCCAGCAAGCGTGCGTGAGCGTGTTAGGAGCAAATGGAGACGAATGGTATTTGGGACCTGACAATCTGTTGGAGTGTGAGCAGGGTAATATTTAGTGAAGGGATTCAGGGAAACCAGTTATTTTTATATAGCCGGACTTGAGTCCTGGAAATGGGAAGTACAATGCCTGCACTCTAAAGGAGGGGTTTGGGATATTAGCAGTTTGGAGGGATATGTTGTGTATCTTTATAGGTATATGCTTCTAAGCTGTTGTGTTCTGAGCACCTCTGCACGAGTTTTTATGAGGATAGTGAGGCTCAGGTTAGGGTGTGTAGAAGAGAGGGAGCCTACTTCCCATTAAAAGTAGGTCTTAGACAGGGATGTGTAATGTCACCATGGTTGTTTAATATATTTATAGATGGGGTTGTAAAAGAAGTAAATGCTAGGGTGTTCAGGAGAGGAGTGGGATTAAATTATGGGGAATCAAATACAAAATGGGAATTGACACAGTTGCTTTTTGCTGATGATACTGTGCTCATGGGAGATTCTAAAGAAAAATTGCAAAGGTTAGTGGATGAGTTTGGGAGTGTGTGTAAAGGTAGAAAATTGAAAGTGAACACAGAAAAAAAAATAGTGATTATGTGTGAGTGAGGTGAAAGTGTTGAATGATGATGAAAGTATTTTCTTTTTGGGGATTTTCTTTTTTTGGGTCACCCTGCCTCGGTGGGAGACGGCCGACTTAAAAAATAAAAAAAAAGATCTGTCCTCTGGAGTTCTGTAGGATGACTGGGTGTGCTCAGTGACAAGTATCTCTGGAGACTACTTGTTAGTCCAAAGAGGTGGTGGGCAAGGGGTTGTGTGCCTCTCGGTGGGTTTCTCACCGCCCTCTCTTGCCTGCTGAGGTGCCTTGGTGGATGTGAGGTTGCTATCTTGGATTGCCAGGTTACCGGCATGAAGGGTAGATAGTGGGTTAAATTCAGCACGTGCACTACCTGATGTGCTGAGGGACCCCTTGGATACAGAGGGGGATATATGGTGTTTTTCTCCTAGGAGCTATTTCCCCTCTTATGGACACTCGTATCCCTGATCTGCCTGATATTTTCCAGGTCAACCTTTTTTCTAAACCTTGATTATTCAAGGGTGCTTTGATGCCAGTAAGGGGCTGTTGATTCAAAGAACTGGAGCTATCTTCCCTTTCTTTGGATCAAATCAAATTGCCTCCCTATATGCCTAATAATGAAATGTACTGTGATTTTTAAAAGGGGAATAAAATACTGAACTTAATGTGTAAATGCGAATAATGAAATATATTTTGAAGCTTACTTAAGCTACAGTCATTATACCAATTACACAAATCAATATGTTAGATGTGTATCACAGAAGACAATAAAAGTTACATTAAATGTGCAAGAAATCTGACTAGAATACATAATTATTTACACTAATTACTGAAAGATTTAAGTGAAACTTTACAGTAAGGTTAATGCACTTATCTGTAAATTAAACACAAACTAACAAAAAATAATGCATACATCACAGTTAGTATTTGCTACTGTGCACAGTAAATACTGGGGTTTCTGCAAACACTAAATAATACTGAAATTGAAATACTGTATTGTACAAGTAAATGGAAACATAAATTTACATCCAAAACTTCATTCATAAACAATTTGAGCAACTCTGTGTACAAATTAATAGCACCATTGTAGCAGTATCACACTTGTCACCGTTACCCATTTTTAGTGGTTACCTAAAAACTATGTATATGTACTGCATACCTATAACTAAACAAAAAAAAAAAATACAAACTAGTAATGAAAACTGATAATTTTGGTTTGCCCTGGACAACTTTTAAATCACAAGTAAAATATAAAAATTATTGAAGTTAAAGGTTTAGTTCATACTATGGGAAGGTGAGAAGGCCAAGTTTAGGTCAAGTCACATGTTCTCTGATGACTAAATCATTTGACAATGTACTGAGAAAGGTAAGTATCTATAGAAACAAAGCCAGTCTTTCCCAGTACATGATCTTGTCAGAAAAATAATTACTTGACCTGACTAAAGTGGCCTCATTTGTTTTGACTGCCTTCTAACTTACTTCAGACTTGACAACATAAGAGTCCAGAACAGAACATGCATCATCTAGCTTTCAGTTTCTATTTGTGTGACTGTCAAATTTGCTCCAGCCACAGCATTGTACCTTATTCTTAGTTAAAAAAAACAAAAATAAACTTCAGCAATTGACAAAATTTAAGTGATAAATTTTACTGTTTATATCATAAGACCATGAATCTAGAGTGCAAGATTTTAAGCAACAAAAGATTTGTAAAAATTTAAGCAACACAAGTTACTAGATTACATATTGATAAAGTCACCAACCATTTATCATCCTTTAAACGAGATACAAACTTTCATTTTTTGCAAAATTTTAATTTTACATAAATTCTATTTATTCAAAATAGAACAAAACTTATTTCAAGAAAAAATTAGAGGGCTTCAGATATGCTACTTATTATACAAACACACCATGTCAACACCAAGAACCTTACTTAGTATAAAAGTTAACTAAAATGCCAGTAATAAATACTTTTTACAATATTGAACAATTATTCCTCTTAGGACATCCTCCATTCCCAGAATGCTATTTTATTTACACACACAAAAAAAAAAAAATACTTGTAAACTGCAAACACAGTAATTATACAATTCAATAAGAACAAAATGAAGAGGCTTTACAATAATGGGTAAATTAATACAATGCTATAGCAGTTTTTCTTAACTATGGTGTACCAGAAGTAATATTCAGTATTTTCTGTACACTTTTCCATCATTTTATAATAGTCCCAGAATGTGGGGTTTCATGTGTGCATGGTTTAGTTTTTGACACCAGTTTCACTAGTGTGCTAAACCTAGATGTTAATAAAATGGATGGTTCAAAACAAGTAACTGGTGCAGTTTTGCCATTTCATTGACAGCATTGCTAGTACAAGCTGCCCATGGGGTATGTGTTACTAAACCTATGAACACCTGAACATTTAGGCTGAAAAAAGATACAGTAGAATCCCAATTACCGCACATCAGCATTTTCAACCACTGAAAAATGCACCTATGCCCTAATTGCATCAGAAATGAGAATGATGATGTGTGCCATAAAGGTTGAAAAAATATGCATACTCTTCTCTTCTTTCAACAACCTGGCCGTATCGTACCGAAGCAGGGTGACCCCAAAAGAAAAACAAGTTTCTCTTCTTAACTTCACTAATGTATACAGGAGAAGGGGTTACTAGCCCCATGCTCCTGGCATTTTAGTCGTCTCTTATGACACGCATGGCTCATGGAGGAAGAGTACTGTTCCACTTTCCCATGGAGATATGAGGATATAAACAAGAACAGGAACTAGTAAGAAAATAGAAGAAAACCCAGAGGGGTGTGTACATATATAAATGCTTGTGCATGCATGTGTAGTGTGACCTAAGCGTAAGTAGAAGTAGCAAGACGTACCTGAAATCTTGTATGTTTATGAGACAGAAAAAAAGAAACCGGCAATCCTACCATAATGTAAAACAATTACAGTCTCTCCTCACTTAATGAGGAGACTATGTCGGTAAACAAATTCGTCATTAAGTGAGGAGCTTACTACAGTGGTAGTGGGTTTGTGTCAACCATCTTTGATATTGTTTTAATGTCGCCTTTGTACCATTTATAACATTTCCGTTGTATTTTTAAATGTTTATACAACAGTGTACTGTATATTGTAATAAACAGTAGAGGAAATCAGCTCTAATATACAGTATTTAGGTATGCATATTGGTCAGAGCCTGTTGTAAGTCTGAGCCATCGGTAAACAAGTACAGTGGTACCCTGAGTTTCGTACAGATCCCAACTCGAACAATTATTTAAAGTGTATTATTTTAAGTGCTTTTGTAAGTGTATTTATGGGGTCTGAAACGGACTAATCTAATTTACATTATTCCTTATGGGAACAAATTCGTTTGGTAACAGCACTCGAACAGCCTTCTGGAACGAATTATGGCCAAAACTACCACTGTACGTCGCTAAGTGAGGAGAGGCTGTACAGGCTTTCGTTTTACACTCGCTTGACAGAACGGTAGTACCTCCCTGGGCGGTTGCTGTTTACCAACCTACTACCTAGGAAATATGCATACATGGTGGGATATTTCTCTTTTCTCTGCAGCATAGCTGGCTTATGGACGAGTCCACTGTTTTAGGGAAAGGCTTAGCATCAATACTTGTACAGCCACCCATGCTGCCAGTTGCCTTCTAGCAGTATCACATACGTTACTCATTCTGTTTATTGAATAATTTAAATACTGTCATCACTCACCTCATCTGTATATTAACCATGGGACACAAAAAAATACTTGCAGGCTAAGGTGCAAAGAATATGAAACTGACAGTTTTGAAAAAAAATGAGGTTTTTAGATATGGTGGGAGGCAGTGCAAGGTGGCTAGTAACTTGTAATTACATAGTAATTATACATTCCTGTGCCTTTAACAGCCATGTCTTTACTCTAGCTTATTTCAGAAGTTACTGAAAAAGTGTGAAAAAGTTATCACATGAGAAAGTTGTGTAGGAAAGGTATGATTTTGAATGATGCAGTCATGACAAATTCATTTCTGTTTAGGGTCCATAGGGTCACCACAGCTTACTTCACACTGAGGCACAACAGCCCTTCACACCACTGGGAGGGTTCACATGGCACAAACATCACAGCCCTCAAAAAGCAACAGCCACCTCCTACACCATTTTATTATTATACTCTGCATTATTCTAATTAGTTTCTCAAATACATTTATCTTTAGCATGTTTGCTTGTTATAGGTGTGCCAAGTTCCTATGTTAGATACAACTTAATCAAGTAATGTGGCTTATTTTTATGGTAGTTCACATGCTGATGGCAGGTGATGGTGTAAGAAGCTGATTCTGCCTGCCATGTGAATCCTCTCCACACACTGGCATATCAACAAGCAACTAGAAGATAAAGTAGTTTTCCAACTTCTTAGCTTATTTTGAAAAAAAAAATTGTTTGGCTTTTTTGAAGATCCAAGGAATGTAGCCCTATTTTTCCCTGATGTTCTTCAGTCCAGTTAATGCCGTTCCTGTTAAAATATCTATTTTCAGGAACATAACCTGCGTATTAATTGGGTCTCTACTGTAAATGTACTGTATAAATCTGTGTACCAGTCTAAAGTAGCAATGCATTTTTCTAATACGTATTAGAAAGCTTTATTTATCGTTTTCATTAAACCTTTCCATTATATTTCTTTTTTACAGTCTAACATTCTAAAAATTTCATTTTAATAAACAATCATGTTTATCATACATAAAGAAGCTAATTTTTTTTTTTATAAAAACATGCTTTGGCTCCTAAAAATAAAAGTACAGTGCAACCTCTACTTACGAGTGCATCCACGTGCAAGTTTTTCCAGATACGAGCAGCTGCTCAGCCGATTTTTTGCTTCCAGATGCAAGCAAAATTTCCAGATGCGAGTGGGCCTCTAGGGAGGTTAATTAACACTGGTGAGGGGGCTCTTGCTCTTGATCTAGGGAATTGGATCTCAGTTGTTTGTTGGACTATCTTATTGAAACTTGGACAATGTATGATGAAAAGGTGCTTCTTAACGTACACCAAAAATGAAAGAAATCGGACCATAAATAACGGAGTTCACTTCTCCGCCATTAGCCTCCCTTTAGCGGTATATGTATTTTCATATGGTTTTTATGGTTGTATTCTCGTTTTATTTGATCTCATGTGATAGAATGGAAGATATTCTACAAAAATAAATATGATTTTAATTGGTTTCACAATGAAAAGTAACTTGAAATTGAGCTCAAAATAGCAGAAATGTTCGATTCTTTGGCGACATCAGTGGTAGACATCATGAGGTAGCAGTGGCAGACAACATGAAGCAGCAGTGGCAGACATCATGAGGTAGCAGTGGCAGAAAAATGAAGCAGCAGTGGCAGACAAATGAAGCAGCAGTTGCAGACAACATGAGGCAGCAGTTGCAGACAACATGAGGCAGCAGTTGCAGACAACATGAGGCAGCAGTTGCAGACAACATGAGGCAGCAGTTGCAGACATGAGGCAGCAGTTGCAGACAATATGAGGCAGCAGTTGCAGACAATATGAAGCAGCAGTTGCAGACAATATGAGGCAGCAGTTGCAGACAATATGAGGCAGCAGTTGCAGACAACATGAGGCAGCAGTGGCAGACAACATGAAGCAGCAGTGGCAGACAACATGAAGCAGCAGTGGCAGGCAACATGAAGCAGCAGTGGCAGACAACATGAAGCAGCAGTGGCAAAGTATAGTATTAAGAGTGTAGCAATTAAGTGTAGCATTAAGAGTTGAGCAATTAACTGTAGCATTAAGTGTGTAGCAATTAAGTGAAGCATTAAGAGTGTAGGACTTATAAGTCACTCTGACTTTTTTGGGTTATCCTAGGTTCTCTACACATGTAGTCAGGAGCAGGAATGGCCGCTGTGGTGGCCCAATAAACCCCAACAACAATGGCTGCTGTCACCACCACTAGCCACATACCTAATGACATGTATTTTATTCATTCTAGTGTATATATCATGTTTCTATGTTATTAATATTGTTTACTATGTCATATTACATGAATTGTGATAGATAAATAAGCTGCAGAGTTGATATTAGGGAAATTATTAAAGTATTTTCTCGTGCCTGGAATTCCACTGGAACGAATTAATTCCATTTCAATTAATTTAGATGGGGAAAATTGACTCTACAAACGAGCAAATCCAGTTGCGAGCAAGGTCATGGAATGGATTAAACTTGTGAGCAGAGGTTCCACTGTACATAATAGAACTTGTGTAATTTCCATAAAGTGCACTTTCTATATAAATGCAACTAATCAATGTACATATAATGTTTTTGGAGGTTTCAAAGTCTACAAATGATAAGTAAACATAATGAGCAAGATAACATATTAGCCAGAAGAAACAAAACACAAAAAGGAAGAATATAGGCAGTTTATGAGAATTACTATTTTTTAAACTCTTTGCATTACAAAAGACAAATCTCTATCAGATTCTTTTGCAGTGACAATTAAATATTTCAATCCTGATCAAATTATAAAAATTAAATATCTTCAAAGCTAACCCTGCACAGCAATGCCCTAGATGATTAGACAATTTATGAAGTGACATGACAGGTCATTAATGAAAATATGATAGCATATAACAGATGTCACTTCTTCAGTCCACCATAACTGATCTATAAACCAAGCCTATTGCAAAAATATTTGTATTTTTCCCTTTATACAGAAACTTTTTATCCAAATTAAATAAATCTAGATATTTTTTTTCGGTGGGAGACGGCCGACTTGTTGGAAAAAAAAAAAATTCAACAAGTCTGCCGTTCCCCACCGAGGCAGGGTGACCCAAAATGAAAGAAAATCCCCAAAAAAGAAAATACTTTCATCATCATTCAACACTTTCACCTCACTCACACATAATCAGTCTTTGCAGAGGTGCCCAAATAAAACAGTTTAGAAGCATATATAAAGATATATAACATACCCCTCCAAACTGCCAATATCCCAAACCCCTCCTTTAAAGTGCAGGCATTGTACTTCCCATTTCCAGTACTAAAGTCTGGCTATATAAAAATAACCGGTTTTCCTGAATCCCTTCACTAAATATTACCCTGCTCACACTCCAACAGCTCGTTAGGTCCCAAAAACCATTTGTCTCCATTCACTCCTATCTAACACGCTCACACATGCTTACTGGAAGTCCAAGCCCCTCGCCCACAAAACCTCCTTTACCCCTTCCCTCCAACCTTTTCTAGGATGACCCCCTACCCCGCCTTCCTTCCCCCACAGATTTATACGCTCTCCAAGTCATTCTACTTTGATCCACTCTCTCCAAATGACCAAACCACCTCAACAAGCCCTCTTCAGCCCTCTGACAAATACTTTTAGCAACTCCACACCTCCTCCTAATTTCCACACTCCGAATTCTCTGCATAATATTTACGTCACACACTGCTCTTAGACAGGACACCTCCACTGCCTCCAGCCGCCTCCTTGCTGCAGCATTTACAACAATGCTTCACACCCATATACGTGTTGGTACCACTATACTTTCATACATTCCCTTCTTTGTCTCCATGGATAACGTTTTTTGTCTCCACAGATACCTTAACAGACCACTCAGCTTTTTTCCTTCAACAATTTTATGGTTAACCTCATCCTTCATAAACCCATCCGCTGACACGTCAACTCCCATATATCTGAAAACATTCACTTCTTCCATCCTCCTTATCTCCAATGTAATATCCAATTTTTCTTTATCTAAATCATTTGATACCTTCATCACCATACTCTTATCTATCTTCACTTTCAACTTTCTACCTTTACACACCCTCCCAAACTTGTCCACTAGCCTTTGCAACTTTTCTTAGGAATCTCCCATAAGCACAGTATCATCATCAAAAAGTAACTGTCAACTCCCATTTTGTATTTGATTCCCCATAATTTAATCCCACCCCTCTCCCCAACACCCTAGCATTTACTTCTTTTACAACCCCATCTATAAATATATAGATGGGGTTGTAAATATATAGATGTGTAATGGTGACATTACACATCCCTGTCTAAGACCTACTTTTACTGGGAAGTAATCTCCCTCTCTCCTACACACCCTAACCTGAGCCTCACTGTCCTTATAAAAACTCTTTACAGCATTTAATAACTTACTACCTATTCCATATACTGTACTTGCAACAACTGCCACATTGCTTCCCTATCCACTATCATATGCCTTTTCTAAATCCATAAATGCAATGAAAACTTCCCTACCTTTATCTAAATAATGTTCACATAACTTTTTAACTTTAGTAATGTATACAGGGTAAGGGGTTGTTAGTCCTTTGCTCACAGCATTTTAGTTGCCTCTTACGACACGCATGGCTTACGGAGGAAGAATTCTGTCCCACTTCCCCATGGAGATGAGACGAAATAAACAAGAACAGGAACTAGTAAGAAATAAGAAAACCCAGATGGGTGTGTATATATATATGCTTGAACATCCAAGTGTAGTGTGACCTAAGTACAAGCAGAAGTAGCAAGACGTACCTGAAATCTTGCATGTTTACGAGACAGAAAAAAAAACAGTAATCCTACCATCATGTAAAACAATTACAGGCTTCAGTTTTACACTCACTTGGCAGGACTGTAGTACCTCCCTAGGCAGTTGCTGTCTACCAACCTACTACCTAAAGGACTTCTATATAATTAAAAACAAATATGAACAAATAAGTTTGCTATTCAATATAAAGATTAAAAGTCATCTTTCAACAAACTGGCCATATTCCACTGAGGCAGGGTGGCACAAAAAGAAAAACGAAAGTTTCTCCTTTTAAATTTAGTAATATATACAGAAGGGATTACTAGTCCCTTGCTCTCATTAAAAGTCATATTACACATTATTACTGCTGTTGGAGTGTGAGCAAGGTAATATTTTGTGAAGGGATTCAGGAAAACCAGTCATGTAGCTGGATTTGAGTCCTGGAGGTAGGAATTATAATGCCTGCACTTTAAGGAGGGGTGTATGATATTGGCTGTTTGGAGTGATGTCTAAGCTGTCGTATATGAGCGCCTCTGTAAAGACAATGATTATGTGTGCATGTAGGTGACAGTGTTGAATGATGATAACAGTGTTTCTTTTTTGGCTTATCCTGCCTCGGTGGTAGATGCCCACATGTTGAAAATTCATGAAGAGCTAAACTTGTAGGGGTCATACAGCACCCAGACATATTGTACAGTATTATAAATTGAGCAAATTAAATCAAGCACTGGAAGTCTTGCAAAATTAATACTTAATAATATAAACAAAGCATTACATGAATACGTGTGGCTTCTTTTTGTTCTTGCAATCAACTCAAAATCTGACTAGTAACTACCTCATAAAATGAGTTATAAACCAAGTAAAAACTTATTCAATACTGTACTTTACGGAGATCCTCGTAGACTAGATGAGCGACTGCCATATCCAGAATCTGGGGTGCTGCAAATACTGCTCTTTTCTTCACTTTCATACAACCTACAGATACAGAAATTAAACTTAAACCTGTAATATAGTTGGACTGAGGTAAATTGCAAAAATTACATGGTACATAAGACTGAATAATGTAGAAATAAATTGTACATCATAGTATTACTATTCTACTGTATGGTACAAAGAATGCTACGTAATTGTACTGTAGGAAGGAAATGGTAAAATTTGGAAAGCACTTTGATCTATAAGATTACTTGGTGCTTCTTGCCTATACAATGGTTATTATGGAGCCATCTGGTTTAGCGTTTCTTTTTCATTATAATAACAATAACAATGATACTAATAATGGAGCCATCTGATAACAGACCAGTGTATGAAATCTGCAAACAATATGAATTTGAGAACATGATTCATAAATAACTATGCTCAAACACAGGATATTCAACCCTTTCCAGCAAGACTTAAAGCAAAAATGCCATAAAAGAAAGCAAGATATATTCTACACGACACATGATACAAAGAATTACTCTACAAACTGTTGAATAGTAGGGCGACATATAACAAATACAATTCCGAATATTTCAACTGTCATATTGATTACTCGTGTAGTGGAACTAAGCAGGGATTATAATACATGTACAGTACTATTTTTTTTTTTTAACAAGTCGGCCGTCTCCCACCGAGGCAGGGTGACCCAAAAAGAAAGAAAATCCCAAAAAAGAAAATACTTTCATCATCATTCAACACTTTCACCTCATTCACACATAATCACTGTTTTTGCAGAGGTGCTCAGAATACAACAGTTTAACCCTTTGAGGGTTTTCGTCGTACTAGTACGTCTTAAGCGTAGGGGTTTTTGACGTACTAGTACTCATAAATTCTAGCGACCTCAAATCTAGTGGGAGAAAGCTGGTAGGCCTTCATATGAAAGAATGGGTCTATGTGGTCAGTGTGCACAGTCTAAAAAAAATCCTGCAGCACACGGTGCATAATGAGAAAAAAAAAACTTTTTCCATTTTTTTTAATAAATCAGCGACTTTGCAGTGTATTTTCGTATAGTATTTATTGTTGTATTCTTGTTTTCTTGGTCTCATTTTATAGAATGGAAGACATATTACTGAAATTGAGATGATTTTGACTGGTTTTACAATGAAAGGTGCCTTGAAATTGAGCTCAAAGTAGCAGAAATGTTCGATTTTTACCAAACTTCAAAAGTAAACAATTCGTGCCAAGCGTGCAATACACGTCAACTGGTGAGTCTAATATTCTTTCACAAGTGCACCAATAATATTTATACCATTTTTTACACTAATGCAGTAGTCTGCATAACAGTAAATCTTATATTTTTTGTGAGAATAAAAATTCAAAGTGGAAAGCAAAAGAATATAAGAGGGGCCTTGAGACGTGACTAATGACTAGAGGAAATGTCATTTTAGTGCCAGGAATGTCTTTCTTGTTTATTCTGGACCCTATTCCGAAATTGGCATCTTTTGAAATTTGTGTGAAATTGGCAAAATTGCTAAATTCTGACCACTGTACTGGATAGTTGAATTTATAAATGGGTGGTTTCTTGCACCCATTCGATAGAAAAAATGGAGTTCTAGCGAAATATTCATGTTTTTTGTCGACTAGTACAGTGAAATTGGCCGAAAATGGGGCTCAAAGTGGGCAAAATCGCCGATCCGTAAACATCGCCGAGACCGCTAACTTTGCGAGAGCATAATTCCGTAAGTTTTCTATCAAATTTCAAACTTTTGGTATCGTTATGATCGGGAAAAGATTCTCTATCTTTTCATAAGAGAAAATAATTTTTTTTTTTTTTTAAATTTGGCCGACCCTGAGAATGAGTTTCGGAGAGGGCCTGTCGACCCTCAAAGGGTTAAGAGCATATACGTATAAAGATACACAACATATCCTCCAAACTGCCAATATCCCAAACTCCTATTTTAAAGTGCAGGCATTGTACTTCCCATTTTCAAGACTCAAGTCTGGCTATATAAAATAACCAGTTTCCCTGAATCCCTTCACTAAATACACCTACCATCCGACTTACGACCTGCTCGACTTACGAGCACTCGACTTACGACCGTGTTTTTTATGCCAAATTTCTGGGAAATAAACAACTATTTGTGTTGTACACAGTGTTTATCCTAAACCTTACAGTATAAAATACAGTACTAACAGCATAAAAAGTAAAGTAAAACATGAAACACCAAAATAAAACAATAAAATAAAGCCATTACAAAAATGTTTTGTTGATATTCAGTAGTAAAGTTCGACTTACGACCAGTTTCTCGGAACCGAACTCTGTCGTAAGTCGGATGGTAGGTGTATTACCCTGCTCACACTCCAACAGCTCGTCAGGTCCCAAATACCATTCGTCTCCATTCACTCCTATCTAACATGCTCATGCATGCTTGCTGCAAGTTCAAGCCTCTGGCCCACAAAACCTCCTTTACCCCCTCCCTCCAAACCCTACAGATTTATACGCTCTCCATGTCATTCTACTTTGATCCATTCTCTCTAAATGACCAAACCACTTCAACAACCCCTCTTCAGCCCTCTGACTAATACTTTTAACTCCACACCTTCTCCTAATTTCCACACTCCGAATTTTCTGCATAATATTTACACCACACATTGCCCTTAGACAGGATATCTCCACTGCCTCCAACCGCCTCCTCACTGCAGCATTTACAACCCAAGCTTCACACCCATATAAGAGTGTTGGTACCACTATACTTTCATACATTCCCTTCTTTGCCTCCATAGATAATGTCCTTTGTCTCCACATATCCCTCAATGCACCACTCACCTTTTTTTCCCTCAATTCTATGATTAACCTCATCCTTCATAAATCCATCCGCTGATACGTCAACTCCCAAATATCTGAAAACATTCACTTCTTCCATACTTCTCCTCCCCAATTTGATATCCAATTTTTCTCTATCTAAATCATTTGATACCCTCATCACCTTACTCATCTACCTTTACACACTCCCAAATTCGTCCACTAACCTCTGCAATTTTTCCTTTAGAATCACCCATAAGTACAGTATCATCAGCAAAAAGTAACTCTGTCACTTCCCATTTTGTATTTGATTCCCCATAATTTAATCCCACCCCTCTCCCGAACACCCTAGCATTTACTTCTTTTACAACCCCATCTATAAATATATTAAACAACCATGGTGACATTACACATCCCTGTCTAAGGCCTACTTTTACCGGGAAGTAGTTTCCCTCTCTTCTACACACCCTAACCTGAGCCTCACTATCCTCATACAAACTCTTTGCAGCATTTAGTAACTTACCACCTATTCCATATACTACTTGCAACATCTGCCACATTGTTCCCCTATCCACTCTATCATATGCCTTTTCCAAATTCATAAATGCAATAAAAATTCCCTACCTTTATCTAAATACTGTTCACATATATGCTTCAATGTAAACACCTGATCTACACATCCCCTACCCACTCTAAAACCTCCTTGCTCATCCGCAATCCTACGTTCTGTCTTGCCTCTAATTCTTTCAATAATAACCCTACCGTACACTATTCATGGTATACTCAGTAAACTAATTCCTCTATAATTTTTATAATCTCTCTTGTCCCCCTTCCCTTTATATAAAGGGACTATACATGCTCTCTGCCAATCCCTAGGTACCTTCTTCTCTTTCATACATTTATTAAACAAAAATACCAACCACTCCAACACTATATCCCCCCTGCTTATAACATTTTTGTCACACATATACATAAATATATAAAACTATAAAATAAATAATAAAACAAAATTAAATAAAGGAGATGGGGGGTAGAGAAGTTAAACAATATCAAGCACCTTAATAAAAGATCCATAAGTTGTGATAGGGACTGTAGGTGATACCCAGTAGTAGCTTGAAGTGCAACTGGCCACGTTGGAAGTAAATGACAGCACAAACGTCCACAAGCTAAACATGCTGCCGCCACCTGCGAGCTTTGCCATTGTAGGAAAACTAGATCTGAAAAAAGAAAAAAAAAAATCTAGGTAGTAGGTTGGTAGACAGAAACCATCAAGGAAACTCCGTCCTATCACACTACAGCCTCTCCTCACTTAGCGACATACTTGTTTACCGATGAATCCGACTTATGATGGGGGCTCTGACCAGTATGCATACCTAAATATGTAATGTATATTAGAGCTGATTTCGTCTATTCTGTTTATTACAATATACAGTACACTGCTGTATAAACATTTAAAAATATACCAGAAATGTTATAAATGGTGCAAAGGTGACATTACAATAATATCAAAGATAGTTGACACAAACCTACTATCATTATATGCTCCTCACTTAGTGATGAATTCACTTACCAACGTGGTCTTAGGAATGGAACTCCACTGTTAAGTGAGGAGAGGCTATATTTGAAAATGAAAACTTGTTAAATGTTTTGTACTCTGCAGGACTGCTAATTTTTTCTTTTGGCTCACAAACACATAGGATGACAGGTATATCTTACAAACTTATAACATGTACCTAAATTAGGTATATACACAGTTTTACTTTCCTATGGGCTTGTATATATTTTTTTTCCTACATCTGTGGCCTGGTCTGAGACTAGACTATGAGAAAGATACTTCCCAGAACTACTGATCTGATACCGTAACAGTTAGCAATTTGATAGTAACTTTTGGTATATACTGTACTTTAACATTTATCTTTTAAAACTACTGATGTATCTTAACTTTACCCAAAAGTTCATAAAGGTGCTTCACAACAAATTTCTGAAGGCATTCATGTAAATGCTCTTGAGAATAGACTCATACCACACTTCTACAATAATAGCTTGTTTCTTACTCTCATAACCTTACTCCTTCCAATGCTTACTTTTAATTGCCTTCTTTTACATACCCTCCCAAATTCATCCACTAACCCCATACACCAATCACTCAAAATCTATATCTCCACCTGCTTTTAACATTTCTGTCCTGATCTCATCAATCCCAGATCCTTACACTGAACAGCTCTTCAAAATATTCCCTCCACCTTCCCAATATGTATCTCTGCCTCTCCATCTAATAACTCCCTGTTTTGTTTTTAACTTAAATCTATTCATTCCTTAGGGTTCCTCAACTTATTTATCTCGCTCCAAAACTTTCTTATTCTCAGCAAAAATTGTTAACAAAACCTCATTTACTCTCCCATTTGCTCTCCATCGTCCTCACCACTCTTAATCTCTCTAAACCTCCATGTACTCCAGCCCTCCTTATACCACTTCTGCTCTGTAAAAATCTCTCATATGCTAACTTTCTATCCCTTACCACTCTACCTTGTAATTCCACCAACTGCTCCTTTTTCCTAAAGCACCCACCCTCCTATATCCCTTGACTGGATATAATGGTATAGATGATACATACAGAGCTTACCTTGTAGAGAAATATCAAGAAACTGAGCAGTTACCCTCCAGAGTGTCTGTCTAGTTAATGCTGGAGAAGTAAGATCTGCTCCTTCAACAGTGTCACCAGCTGTTACTCCATGCATGAGGTAGAACTCTGCAAAGTGAGCTACTGTCACAGTCCCTGAGGAATATAATTATTTTACTTAACATTAGTGCAAATAGTCTCAGTTGCAAACACTATACAGTACAGCACTTGAAAAATTAAAAGGATGAATGTACTATGATGTGAAGCAATAATATTTAAGAGATATTAACAAAGGTATCAAATGATTTAGATAAAGAAAAATTTGATATCACATTGGAGGTAGGGAGTATGGAAGAAGTGAATGTGTTCAGATATTTGGGAGTTGACTTGTCAGCAAATGGGGTTTATGAAGGATGAAGTTAACCACAGAAATGATGAAGGAAAAATGCTATCCACGGAGGCAAAGAAGAGAATTACGAGAGTATAGTGGTACCAACACTTATATGGGTGTGAAGCATGGGTTGTAAATGCTGCAGCAAGGAGGCTGAAGGCAGTGCAGATGTTGTGTGGTGTAAATATTATGCAGAGAATTTGTAGTGTGGAAATTAGGTGGTGTGGAGTTACTAAAAGTATTAGTCAGAAGGCTGATGAAGGGTTATTGAGGTGGTTTGTTCATTTAGAGAGAATGGAACAAAGTAGAATGACTTGGAGAGCGTATAAATCTGTAGGGTAAGGAAGGCAGGGTAGAGGTCGTCCTCGAAAAGGTTGAAGGGAGGGGGTAAAGGAGGTTTTGTGGGCGAGGGGCTTGGACTTTTAGCAAGCGTGCATGAGTGTGTTAGACAGGAGTGAATGGCGACAGATGGGTTTTGGGACCTGACGAGCTGTTGGAGTGTGAGCAGGGTAATATTTTGTGATGGGATTCAGGGAAACTGGTTAGCCGGACTTAAGTCCTGGAAACGGGAAGTATAATGCCTGCACTTTAAAGGAGGGGTTTGGGATATTGGCAGTTTGGAGGGACATCTAAACTGTTGTATCTGAGTGCCTCTGCAAAGACAGTGATTATGTATGAGTGATGGTGAAAGTGTTGAATAATGATGAAAGTTTTTTCTTTCTTTTCCAGGTTTTTTTTTCTTTTTTGGATCACCCTGCCTCAGTGGGAAATGGCCGATGTATTTAAAAAAAAAAATTAATAGGTTGAGGAAAGCCTTGGAGCCAATGGCCTTAGAAGCTAAAAACAGAGTGGACATGTTAGATGGGAAGGAGGAAGCACTGGAAAGATGGGAGACTATTTTGAAGTTCCCTATCTGTCAACAGATTTAATTTTTTTTTTTTTCAACAAGTCGGCCGTCTCCCACCGAGGCAGGGTGACCCAAAAAAGAAAGAAAATCCCCAAAAAGAAAATGCTTTCATCATCATTCAACACTTTCACCACACTCACACATTATCACTGTTTTTGCAGAGGTGCTCAGAATACAACAGTTTAGAAGCATATACGTATAAAGATACACAACATATCCCTCCAAACTGCCAATATCCCAAACCCCTCCTTTAACCCTTTCAGGGTCCGTCCCGTAGATCTACGGCTTTACGTTCAGGGTCCAAACCGTAGATCTACGCCATGAGCTCAGCTCACTCTGATAAACTGTGAGTGGTACATTTGGGCCTAGATATGAGAGAATACATCTATGTGGTATGTGTGCACCACATAAAACAGATCCTGCAGCACACTGTGCATAATGAGAGAAAAAAAATGAAATCATGATTTTTCGATTAAAACAGAAACTTTGCAGTGTTTTTTCGTATGTTTTTTATAGTTGTATTTGCGATTTCTTGGTCTCATTTGATAGAATAGAAGACATATTACAGAAATAGAGATGATTTTGATTGGTTTTAGCATTGGAAATGGCTTGAAACTGAGCTCAAAGTAGCGGAAATGTTAAATTTTTGCCGATATTCAGGAGTAAACAAACGACCTCACATGTCTAATACACATCAGCTGGTGGGTCTAATATACATTCACAAATATGGTGATGATATTTATACAATTATTACAGTATTGCATAACAGTAAATCTTCTATTTTTTGGTGTGAATAAAAATTGATTATGTGAATAAAAAATCAAAATGGAATTTATTTGTAAAGCCTCAAAACATAACTAATGAACAGAGGAAATGTTAGTTTAGTGCCAGGAATGCCTACATTGTTCATTCTGGACCCTATTTTGAAATTGGAATATTTTGAATTTTGTGTTAAATTGGCCAAATTAACAATTTCCGATCACTTTATTTTGTAGTTGAAACAGTTGACTTGGCGATTTCTTGTGCTCAATCGATAGAATAGAAGTAATACTAGTGAAATAGCTAAGAATTTGGTTGATTGGAATAATGTAATTGGCGTAAAATGGGAGTCAAAGTCGGCAAAATCGCCGATTCGTAAATATCGCTGACACATCAAAATTCGCGAGAGCATAATTTCGTCAATTTTCCACCAATTTTCGTACTTTTTGTTTTATTACCTTCACAAAAAGATTCTCTATGATTTCATAAGAAAAAATAACAAATTTTTTTTTTGAAATATCTTGGACACTGGTGCGTGACTCCAGATTTGGGCCTTGGACCCTGAAAGGGTTAAAGTGCAGGCATTGTACTTCCCATTTCCAGAACTCAAGTCTGACTATATGAAAATAACTGGTTTCCCTGAATCCCTTCACTAAATATTACCCTGCTCACACTCCAACAGATCGTCAGGTCCCAAGTATCATTCGTCTCCATTCACTCCTATCTAACACGCTCACGCACGCTTGCTGGAAGTCCAAGCCCCTCGCCCACAAAACCTCCTTTACCCCCTCTCTCCAACCCTTTCGAGGACGACCCCTACCCCTCCTTCCTTCCCCTATAGATTTATATGCTTTCCATGTCATTCTACTTTGATCCATTCTCTCTAAATGACCAAACCACCTCAACAACTCCTCTTCTGCCCTCTGACTAATGCTTTTATTAACTCCACACCTTCTCCTAATTTCCACACTCCTAATTTTCTGCATAATATTTACACCACACATTGCCCTTAGACAGGACATCTCCACTGCCTCCAACCGTCTCCTCGCTGCTGCATTTACCACCCAAGCTTCACATCCATATAAGAGTGTTGGTACCACTATACTTTCATACATTCCCTTCTTTGCCTCCATAGATAGCATTTTTTGACTCCACATATACCTCAATGCACCACTCACCTTTTTTCCCTCATCAATTCTATGATTAACCTCATCCTTCATAAATTCCATCCGCTGACAACGTCAACTCCCAAGTATCTGAAAACATTCACTTCTTCCATACTCCTCCTCCCCAATTTGATATCCAATTTTTCTTTATCTAAATCATTTGATACCCTCATCACCTTACTCTTTTCTATGTTCACTTTCAACTTTCTACCTTTACACACATTCCCAAACTCATCCACTAACCTTAGCAATTTTTCTTTAGAATCTCCTGTAAGCACAGCATCATCAGCAAAAAGTAACTGTGTCAATTCCCATTTTGAATTTGATTCCCCATAATTTAATCCCACCCCTCTCCCGAACACCCTAGCATTTACTTCTTTTACAACCCCATCTATAAATATATTAAACAACCATGGTGACATTACACATCCCTGTCTAAGACCTACTTTTACCGGGAAGTATTCTCCCTCTCCTCTACACACCCTAACCCGAGCCTCACTATCCTCATAAAAACTCTTAACAGCATTTAGTAACTTACCACCTATTCCATATACTTGCAACATCTGCCACTTTGTTAAAAAGTACATATTAAATCTTACTTAAGTGTTATAATCAGTGATTGTAAATACTCTTACATCAACCATACCCCTGGCCGGGATTGAACCCGCGGTCATAGAGTCTCAAAACTCCAGCCCGTCGCGTTAGCCACTAGACCAGCTAGCCACAATAAGATTCATCCAACTAGGTATATTTCTACACCATAGGAAAGTTAGCACAGGCACCTCTGTGACCACAAATGCAAGTTTTTACAGACGAATCTCCAGCTAGCGTGGCCGTGACGAACTCTAGCTCAAGTCCCTTCACTGCCGTCAACATGACTCAAGAAATCGTAATGACACGATTGCAAATAAACCATACCCCCGGCCGGGATTGAACCCGCGGTCATAGTCTCAAAACTCCAGCCCGTCGCGTTAGCCACTAGACCAGCTAGCCACCGCGGGTTCAATCCCGGCCGGGGGTATGGTTTATTTGCAATCGTGTCATTACGATTTCTTGAGTCATGTTGACGGCAGTGAAGGGACTTGAGCTAGAGTTCGTCACGGCCACGCTAGCTGGAGATTCGTCTGTAAAAACTTGCATTTGTGGTCACAGAGGTGCCTGTGCTAACTTTCCTATGGTGTAGAAATATACCTAGTTGGATGAATCTTATTGTGGCTAGCTGGTCTAGTGGCTAACGCGACGGGCTGGAGTTTTGAGACTATGACCGCGGGTTCAATCCCAGCCGGGGGTATGGTTTATTTGCAATCGTGTCATTACGATTTCTTGAGTCATACTCTTACATTACTGTCACCACTTTAATTCTACCATTTATAAAGTGCACACAATTGATATGGCATGAATTTAATGTAAATTATCTGTAATTGTCCAATATGGAACGAATTACTCAAGCTGTACTGTCACACTGCACCAAAGAGGGAGCTCAAGCCAGTGAAGACGTAATGCTTGAGAGCAATAGGCATTACAATAATTATGCAAAGAATAAGGAGCATAATAATTAGATGGTGCGGAGTTACGAAGGGCACTATTCATAGGGTGGAGGAGTGGTTGCAGTGGCTTGGAAGTTAGAGAGGCTGGAGTAGAACAGGATGATAAAAGGGGTGTATAAATCTAGCATGGAAAGGAGGGGCAAGGGTAACTCTTAATAATTTTATCATACACTATACTTAGTATGCTCAATAAGCTTATTCAATATACAAGCAGGCTGCACTTTACAGCACTTCGCTTTACAGCATTTCACTAATACAGTGGCTTTCAATTATACTCATTCTTCATTTAGTCAGACTTCCTACAATATATATATTCACCACTCACTATAAGCTAAGGACAAAAATATTTTGAGGTAAGTAATGGGTGTACTGTATATGCATTTTTTTAGGCCCAGCTACATTGCTCACTTAATATATGATAGTGTAAACATGTTATTAGGTTTTTATCTGCATTTGAAAGTGAAAAAAGGCCATGATTCACTTTATTGATTTTCACTTTACAACAGTAGCCTGGTACCTAATCTGTTGTATAAGTGGGGCCCTCCTATGATTCTTACAATCTTGTCCCCTTTTCCTTAAACAAAGGAACTATGCTAATCCATCGGTACCGTCCCTTCCCCCATGCATGTACTGAACAAATAAACTAACCACTTCAAAGCTATATTTCCATCTGCTTTGTATAATCTGTGCCTTAATTAATCTTATCTGTCCCAGCTGCTTTACTCCCTTTCATTCCACCCACTACCTAATATATCATTATATTAAATTAGTACCGTCAATAACAATTTTCAGTTTTCTTAAATTTCTATCAATATAAATTTGCTATAATCTATCATTATCAATTTATGTGGTACAGTTACTGTACCACATAAACAATATGAAAAAATCATTGGTCACAGTTCAAACCACAATTTGTCTTAGGGCATAACTACAAGGCACAGTAAATTTTTGATATTGAAAAACTCTGCTATTTAGGTTAGCTTCTTAGTCAAGTACTTGGGCTGCTCAAATCCTGACATTAAGGCATGGTGATCCAACACTGGGAAAGTATTAACTAGAGTAGCAAAATACAGCATGCACAGCCCTTTTAAAGGCTGTACTAAAGATAAACTAAACTATTAATTTTATTTGATAAATGATGAAATTGACTATCACAGTGCACAAAGTTCCTCAAACACTTGAATTTGTTACACTATTTACTGCACTTTTATCACAAAAAGCAGAAGGGGGTTACTTAACCGCATTCCCCACATTTGTAGTCCCACATTCTTGTGTCTGTAGCAACAAATGTAAGACTACAGATGGGGTAAAAAAAAAAAAAAGTGTAATCAATGTGTAGCCAAGTCAATAATTAGAGCTTTCAAAAAGTTTTTTCTCAAGGCTACTGAGTTTTTTGTTGCAGTTTAGAGTCACTTCAATTGTAATGTTTGCGAATGTCTGGCAAAATAACTATTGAAGTAATGAGAGTAAATTTTTCCATTTTTTGGTTTCCTACCTTGATGAAAGACTGCCACGTGGCACAAAAATATAAAGTAGGTTCGAGTTATTTGTTTGGCACGAATCTGAAGAAGAAAAGCGTATTTTTTGAACAGGTAAAAATAAAAAAAAAATATAGTACTGTAATAAAGTAGTTTTTTATCTCATTTGCTTTTGGATAGCACAAGGATATTCTATAAACCTTGCTAAGGTAAACCAAATATTTTACTTAAAGAGATTATCCCCTCAAGGAAGGTTCCTTGATGTTTGTGAGGGGCTCTTGATTTAGGGAATTGGATCTGTGCTCCAGTTCCCCAAATTAAGCCTGAATGCCTTCCACATCCCCCCCCCCCCACCCCCAGGCTTTGTATAATCCTCCGGGTTTAGCGCTTCCCCTTTGATTATAATAATAATTAAAGAGATTATGAGAAGTTTTACTTAAATCCTTCTGCCCACTCCGTTACTTAGCATATTTACAGTGGACACACTCTTATTCATTGCTAAGAGGTACTTTTATTACAGCTTTTATTTATCCATATTTCAAAATATTTTTTTCCTCTAAACTGACATCTTACAAAAATATTAACAGTGTAAAACAGTGCATTAAACTGTTAACCACAATTTCTTCTGGGGTTACAAAGTTTACCTAGAAGCTCTAGTTTTTAAAGCACATATTGTACTATAATTTTCTAGCATTTTATTTCCAAGATGTAATTTCAGGCAAAACAGATATTTAATACCTGAATGCCATTTGAGACATTTTGTCAATATAATACTGAAGTGAATTACTAAAAATATTTAAAATAATGAAAAAAAAATTATATTTAAGTAGAAAATATTTAAGTAGACAGTGATATAACTAAATAAAAAAAAAAACATTTTAAGTATTAAACAAGGCTTACACACCTACATTCCAATTGAAGTACTTAAGCATAAAAGCTTCCATTGAATTAAAGATGGCTATGCTATATCTGTTATTTGCAAAAGCATTCAGCTCTGGGATTCTTGGGACATTCATATCCTTTTCTTCAAATTTTGCTGCAAGATGAACACAAATATAATTATAACAAATGTCAATCATTTGCATGTACAGTACATCATCTTTCCATTGCAAGTGTGATGTTCATATAGAATTAGTCCTATATAACATACAGTATTATGGTTACCAAATTTACGTCAAAGTAAACTAAAAGCAAGGTGCTGAATCTGATAAATTTGGTTACTGAATTCTCATTTTAAATTAAAGAAAGTAGTAGGCATCAATACAAGCATCAATAGTTTACAATAAAAAACAGAATTTTTTTTAGAAAAAGCAGGATTTGCTCCACTTCCCCCACCACATAAAAAAATGGAGCATTAACTTCTGTAACTGTGGCTATAGAAAACATGACAAATTAAGATGCAACATACCAGCTAATAATATAGAGGCGAGAGCTGTTAGGCGTAGCTGGTTATCTGATATATGATGAGCATCCATAAACCTGTCTAAAAGGTACACAGAGAGGTGGGTCGTTGCAACACTGAGCTTCAGGCGTTCGCAAACCAAGCACAAGAAATCTACCAACGCCCCCCTCATTGACAACTGAAAACATTTAAAATATTATTTTTTATAATACAGGATTACATACAAAACTGTACTTTAAAAACAAAATCGTACATTTGTAATTATAACTGTACATAAATGGGTTAAAGGCACAGTATTTGTACTCTCAATAAAGGCAGAGAATTAGGGAAGTGGAAACCCAGAATAGAGAGGATATAAATAATATGCTTAAAATGCTGCATTTAGATATAGAAAGGATATAGGAAAGCACTGCATCAATAACTTACTGAATGCCATTCAGCATCTTAATAGTATTTTTTGCTGATACACTTACATTTTGTATGTACCCCCCTACCCCCAACTTTAAAACACTTTAGATAATGATGAACTTGCTATCAGAGCCATCACAAACTCAAATTTTAGGAAACACATTATGCCTTTATTCAAACCCCTAAACTTATTATATAAATGAAATGCATACTTATTACTGCTCACTCCATATTTCAAAACACTATACTGTAATATTGATGCTGACTTCAAGACACTTCATGGACAACTATGATAGCTTGAGATAGCCACCCCAATATAAGGCCAATCTAAGTGTCTGGTTTGTACCTGGTTGGGACTGCAGTAGTGCTAATCTTAATGCCCAGGATATATGATGAAGTCCCATGGTAGATGACCTGTAGCCAGAAGTTAGGGGGTGTGGAGGCCTTTGTAATCTCAAATGAGAACAGCTGTGGCAGTCTCTCAAATACCTCAGTTTGAAAAGACAGGAGTGATGATTGCTCATCTTCATACCATAGTCCTGTTAGGGGACTCTAGCCTCTATGGAGGCCATATGTCGTATGTTCCCTTTGGCACATCTCTCTTATATTTGCCGTGTTTATATTATCCTTTATGTCATCCCTCCCTTATATATCAAAGCAAAACCTGATTAGAATACTAGGGAGCCATTCCCATGTGTATGATAATTAAATACTCCTGTTGGATAATGAAAGTGAAGGTAAAGAGGGTATCCCAGCTAAATGATAATTTTGGATTGTGGATAACACTATACAGTACATATATGGAAATAAGGTAAAGGAATATGGCTGTGTTTTTAAGAAACTTGTTGAGCAGTTGTATATCAAACCTAGTTGGTAATATATTGTGGGCCCCTGAATATTACTAATATAAGGCTGAATGAAAGTTTAGATCCTTAAATAAACTTTGAACTATTACAAAAAGAATCAAAATAAAGTTCATCAGGCAAGGTAGATAAGAAAAATATATAAACAATAATTGTGAAACAAAGGTTAATTTTAGAAAGCTTCAAAGAAGTGAATGTAGTCAATCCCTGCAACTATGGTATATAATATCTCTAAGTACAAACTATGGATATTATACATTTACTCACCTGAGGAGAATTACCATTGTATGGAAGGTGTTTCCTCTCTCTATAATGCATCCATGACAACACATCTTCTGCATAGTCTGTCATCCAGCTGTTACCTCGTGCCATCATATAACTTTCTGAAAAAAAACAAAAATTCAATTTTATGGAAAAAAAAACAAGCTAAATTTTAGTTAATACTGTACTGTACTATAGCATCATAAAATAAGGCAAGGAAACATTCATGTTAGAATGGCAATGGTTTTTCAGGTGAACTCAATGCCAATGTCAAACAGTTTATGTAATTACCTGTGTATATGAGTAGTGTCTTAGAACTGTTGTTAAAAAATAGAAGCAGGACAATGAAATATTAAAATTTTGTATTAAAAGTAATCAAAATTAATGATCAGATGTCAAATACTTAATTCATTTACTTGCAATAAGTGTATGTATGCCCAGAATGGTGTGCCTTGAAGACCATTAATAAACTGCAAGTTATGTAACACCTAATTAATAACTTGCTTATACACTGCATATTTTCATATTTCCAAGGCTGTAGCTCACAATAATCTAGCAAACAGGTAGGTATTTTACTTGTAGAACAAAGGTAGCAAGTATAAGAAAGGGCTGGGGCTCGAACACCGATAATTTGTTGTAATATGAACACAGACCACGTAAGTCATTGTGTTAAAAAGCAGTGAAGAAACTGTGATAAAAAGCACCTTAGTGATATTTATTGTATTTACAGCACTATGGTAATAATTCAGTTTCATGTTACATTTTTTAATTGAGTACAAGTGCAAGTAACATTCAACAGCCATGGGTGGATGTGAGGGAAGGGGGGGGGTCAGGTTATTGGTGGTGATTATTGTTATTATTATCAGAACTAAGCGCTAAAACCACAAGGGCCATATAGGGGTCCAGGTTATTGGTGAGAGCAGGTCACTGCACGTGGAGGCCGCTCATGTCAACACCACCACCACGTGACTTAAAAACTTTTGTTTACTCTACTTTCCACTCAACAATATATCCCATTAAACCTGCATTTGTGAGCATAAACGAAAATAATTGTTGCGAAACCATGTAAGCTTAACCAAAATTACTTGTTTAGCACATTTAACACGACGTACAGTGTCACAGCAGCGACGACGAAGGTAGCAACCTCATTTTCAGCACCATTACAATGCACACATTGATAAGAACGAGGAAGCCACAAGAAACCCACCTTGCATGGGTCTGTGGCGACACTTGTAAAGATGTCTGCATGGTCTGGGGCTGATATACAGATGGTCTGAGGTTCACAGCAAGCAAGGTCAACACCACCACCAGGCCGGGTTGACCTACACAGTTACCACTTCGTCTTAAAACTTACTTTAACCTCTCTGCGAGCGTTCATACCTTCAAAAAAATATATGTATTATTATTGCATATAAACTTAATTTTAATAGTAAATATGACTTATTAAAACATACAAATAACACTGTTTAATTAAACGTTTTCTTCGTTTATCGCCACTTAATTATATTTGCTTTAATTATTGTTTATCCTATATTTTCCTAACTGAATACGAATGTTGAAATACATATAAATGCACAATAATGAAATAATTTCTTATACGGCAAATAAAATCGTAACAAACTGTGAAATGTACAAAATATACCATAATGGTAATGCGCTATAGCATATATAAGAATGTAGCAACTAACTGGTGAGAGATTCCAGAAAAGAATGTAAACAAGGAGATGGTTGACCACTGTGATGGTGAACCCTAGCAGTGACCTAAGGAATTGAACTGATGCCCACGTCCTTGCCCATTCCCCAGGCGCTCTATGACCTCCATACAGGTTTAGCCTTTCCTCAAGAGATGAAGTAAGTTTTTATTTAAGTTTCATACTTTTTTACAATGGTCATAAACATACAGGTGTTTCTGGCAGACATGCATACATTATAGACTTAATTAACCTAGCATGTACCTGGAGGTACATACTAGGATTGGGCCGAGGGGTCAACGCCCCCGCGGCCCAGTTCTTGACCAAGCCTTCTGGCGGATCAGGGCCTAATCAACCAGGCTGTTACTGCTGGCCGACGCAACCCAACATATGAGCCACAGCCCGGCTGATAGGGCACTCTCTTTAGGTATCTGTCCAGTTCCCTCTTGAAGGCAACTAGGGATTTATTGGTAATTTCCCTTATGCATGGTGGGAGGCTGTTGAATAGTCTTGGGCCCCAGACATTGTGTTTTCTCTTAGTGTACTCATGACACCTGCTTTTCATTGAGGGTATGTTGCACCGTATGCCTACCCTTTTGTTTTCGTAGGGAGTGATTTCTATGTGCAAATCTGGGACCAGTCCCTATAGGATTTTCCAGGTGTAGATTATGAAGCATCGTTCTCGCCTCCATTCCTGGGAGTACAGGTCAAAGGACTTCAAACGTTCCCAGTAATTGAGGCGCTTCACTGAAATTATACGTGCAGTGAAGGTTCCCTGCACATTCTTTACATCCGCGATTTCACCTGCCTTGAATAGGACTGTTTGTGTACAGCACTATGCCAGCCTAGAGAGAGAACGAGTCAATCGATCAATTTTTATTTCCTTGCAAGATTACATTGAGATTATGAAATTACAAAAATGAGTTGCAGTGCCTAGGTATTATGGGCAGACTTAATTTAATGGCTTACAGACCACATAACACTAAAGAAATTGAACATAGTTTGTTTAAGTTGTGCATCTTGTTTATTTATAGTACACAGTAATTTTACTCAAATTACAATAGTTTCAATAGTAAATATTGAAATTATATTATGGGAATACAACATTGTGAGTTGTTGAAAGTAGTTTACAGTATGAGAATGCTACAATTGGGTGTAAGGCAGTAATGTTTTGTGTAGGTATTTATACTGTAAGGTAGTTTTAATCCATGTATGAACTTTGGCCGTCACATTTTGAAGTTTTAAGATTTAGGTAATTGGGAGATTTTTTGTAAAGTTAAATATTGAGTATTTAGTTTAGGGTGAGTAAGTGGTTTTTGAAAAGAGTCTTAAATTGATGTTCAGACCGGGTTACTTTAGTATTTACTGGTAATGAATTCCAAATTTTGGGGCCCTTTATGTGCAAAGAGTTTTTACACAGTGTGATATGGACATGGGGTACATCAAAAAGATATCTGTGTTGTGTTATGGTCGTGTGACCTGTTAAGGTTGGCGAGAAGAAGTTTGAGTGGAAGGTTTATGTTTTAGTGTAGTGTTCCATGTATGTAGTAGGCACATGAGTAAGTATGGATGTTCTTTACGGTGAGCAGTTTTAGACTTTTGAATATTGGCGGAGTATGCTGTCGGGAGTGGGAATTTATCATTCTGACTGCAGCCTTTTGCTGGGTTATTAGTGGCCTTAGGTGATTTAGTGTTGATCCCCATGCACAAATCCCATATGTGAGATAAGGGTAGATGAGTGAATGATACAGTGCAAGGAGAGTTGACTGCGGAACAGTACCGTATCTTTGATAATATGCCAGGTAGATATTTTCTGCAATTCAGCATTAACAATGTTGGCCAGTATGACTGGGTTTGGGTGAGAGAAGACGTATGTAGTGTCATCTGCAAATAATATGGGTTTGAGTAGTTGTGATGCATTTGGTAGGTCATTAATGTAAATAAGAAAGAGGAGTGGGCCAAGGACACTTCCTTGTGGAACACCGACTGGAATTGGTTGACTGGAAGGCAGTTGAACAGTCTTGGGCCCCTGACACTTATTGTGTTGTCTCTTATCGTGCTAGTGGCACCCTTGCTTTTCATTGCGGGGATGTTGCATCGTCTGCCAAGTCTTGCTTTCGTAGGGAGTGATTTTCGTGTGCAAGTTTGGTACTAGTTCCTCTAGGATTTTCCAGGTGTATATAATCATGTATCTCTCCCTCCTGCGTTCTAGGGAGTACAGGTTTAGGAACTTCAAGCATTCCCAGTAACTGGGGTGGTTTATCGCAGTTATGTGTGCCGTGAAGGTTCTCTGTACATTTTTTAGTTCAGCAATTTCACCTGCCCTGAAAGGTGCTGTTAGTGCAGCACTATTCCAGCCTAGATAGAACAAGCCACCTGAAGTGTCATCATGGGCTTGGCATCTCTAGTTTTGAAGGTCCTCATTATCCATCCTGTCATTTTTCTAGCAGATGCGATTGATACAATGTTATGGTCCTTAAAGGTGAGATCCTCTGACATTATCACCCCCAGGTCTTTGACATTAGTTTTTCGCTCTATTGTGTGGTTGGAATTTGTTTTATACTCCGATGAAGTTTTAATTTCCTCACATTTTCCATATCGGAGTAATTGAAATTTCTCATTGAACTTCATATTGTTTTCTGCGGCCCATTTAAAGATTTGGTTGATGTCCGCCTGGAGTCTTGCAGTGTCTTCAATGGCGGACACTCATGGAAATTCGGGTATCATCTGCAAAGGAAGACACGGCGCTGTGGCTTATATCCCTGTCTATGTCCAATATGAGGATGAGGAACAAGATGGGAGCGAGTACTGTGCCTTGTGGAACAGAGCTTTTCACCGTAGCCGCCTCAGATTTTACTCTGTTGACTAATACTGTTTGTGTTCTATTTGTTAGGAAATTATAGATCCATCTACTGACTTTTACTTTTATTCTTTTATCACGCATTTTGTGTGCTATTTCACCATGGTCACACTTGCCAAAGGCTTTTGCAAAGTCTGTGTATAGCTGTGGATGAAATATTTTGACATTTCTTGAACATTTGTGAGTAAGTTGTCTCTGAATTTATTAATTTTATCGCATTCCAGCACATAATGACGCAAAGGTGTGATAGTTGTCTATCTGGCAAAGTTTACTTTTGGTTATGTCTACATCAGCTGGTGACACTCTGTGATGTAGTTCAGCTGGGCTTGTGAGGTCTCTGGGGAGACCTAATTTAACCAATTATATGGTCACCTTGCCTTGGCAAATGTCTGTCAGAGACACGCCTTTTCGGCTTATGTATCAGATCTCGGCGTCAGGTCGTACACGTGATGCACACCCAATTGTGGGGGGGGGGGTGCTTGGACCACCATATAAGCCCAAGGAACAGCTGAACAGAGGAGATTCGTGTGGAGCTCTGGCCTGGGTGCAGAGCTCTGAGCAGAGGGACTTCGAGCGGAGCTGCTGCTGGGGTGCAGGGCTCGGGAGAAGGCTGCCGAAGTCTCTGGAGGAGACTGTTGGAGACATTGGGCAGAGTACTGGCTTGGAGCAGTACTCGTGCTGTGTAGGTCTTGGGACCTGTGGTGAACTGTCCTCTGAACTATATTGTAAGTTATATTCATTTTTGCCAAGTTGATTGTATTCTCTGTCTCACTGCTTATGTGTACCATCCCATTTATCTAAACCACAATAATGTTCTGTTCCCAAATATATTATTGTACAAGGACTTAATAATAAACTGTGTTTGAGTAGAATAGTAATATTCACTGTCCCCGTTATTTGTTCTTTTATTCATTATTTTATTTCAAAGTCAGTTCCTGATCAGCCGGGCTGTGGCTCGTACGTTGGTTTGCGTGCAGCCAGCAGCAACAGTCTGGTTGATCAGGCTCTGATCCACCAGCAGGCCTGGTCACAGACCGGGCCGCTGGGGCGTTGACCCCCGGAACTCTCTCCAGGTGAGTAGTGTGGAGTGTAGAGTTAATGAGTCTCTCGTGGTGGTCACCAGTGACCTCACGTTACCTGTTTACCTCTGCCTCGACTCACCTCGTCGCCCACCTCTCCTGCCAACTCCCTCACCTTACTAGGTTAGGTTAGGTAAGGTTCGTCAGGAAACAGGACAAATGTTTTCTGACGCGGGTCTTAGTCAGATGATGACCCGCCTTTGGAGCTTTTGGTCATCTGACCGAGGCCTTCCGCTAGCTTACCGGTCCACCCCTTTAAAAAAAAAAAAAAACCCTCACCTTACTCCCATATTCCCCACTTATATACGTTCCATTACCCCCCCCCCCACATGACAGCTCAGGTAACCTCCTAGCCGGAGCCGGGAGGTAGTGACGCCCAAGAATCTGCTATATAAACTCAAGTTTTCGATACTTTTAAATTTTACTTTTGCAGCTGTATTAGTTTTCAAATTCTCTACGGTCATGTTGGGAAAAAATGTTTTATAAGATAGTCCAATTTGATTAAAACCCAACAATTTCAGGTTTAAAAAAAAAATATTTCTTGCATTGACAAATTTGCATCTTGAGCACTAAACTGAATGCGTGTTCTCCGGGTCGTAAGATACGTCAGTCGTTAAATGTTACAGCCTTTCAGAAAAAT